CAAGCTGGGTCGGGTGCGGCCAGGCCCGGAGCAGCAGCTGCCAGGCTGGGAGCGGCCAGGCCCGGAGCTGCCAGGTCAGGTGTGGCCAGGCCCAGAGCAGCAGCTGCCAGGCTGGGAGCTTCCAGGCCCGGAGCGGCTGGGCCCGGAGCAGCCAGGCCCGGAGCAGCAGCTGCCAGGCTGGGAGCAGCCAGGCCCGGAGCAGCAGCTGCCAGGCTGGGAGCAGCCGGGTCAGGTGCGGCCAGGCCCAGAGCAGCAGCTGCCAGGCTGGGAGCGGCCGGGCCCGAAGCAGCCAGGCCCAGAGCAGCCGGGTCGGGTGTGGCCAGGCTGGAAGCGGCCAGGCCTGGAGCTGCAGGGTCGGATGTGGCCAGGCCTGGAGCAGCAGCTGCCAGGCTGGGAGAGGCCAGGCCCAGAGCAGCAGCAGCCAAGCCCGGAGCAACCAGGTCGGGAGCGGCAGTGGCCAGACCCAGGGCAGCTGGTTGTGGAACGGACCAGAGCAACAGAGGCCAGGCCTGGAGCAGCCAGGCCTGGAACAGCTCGCTCCTCGCCTGCCCCTGCCTCACGGCGGCCTCTCAGACATGGCTGGAAACTTTTGCGGGAACTTGAGGGTCTGCTGAATCAAGTGATGAAGGCTTAGATCTGGATATGTTGAGTTAGTATAGTGCTGGGGTGTTGATCTGTGAGTGCCTTGTGCGGGGCCTGGATGAGGTTGGTTGACCTATTTGGAAATGTCTTTGTGTGAAGTGTATCTTTGGGCATGTGGAGGTATTATTGATATGAGAAAATGCTAAGTAACTGATTTACTATCTGAAAAGGGATTTACTATCAGGGAAAGGGAGGGAGGAAGAGACTGAACATAAACTGTGCATCTATGGGTGAGGACAATGGGGGAGGGGAAGGGGTGGAAGGTGGGGTGGGAACCTGGTGGAGGGGGGAAGAAATGAGGAACCTGTGTAATAATATGAACAATAAGGATTGATTTAAAATAAATAAATAAATAAATAAATAAAGGTTGCTCAGAGAACACAAGAGTGTACAACACAAAGTCTGGGATCAAAGTCTGTAAAGACTTGCATGGTTCCTTGCATTTTTGCTTCTCTATTGAACATAACTGCTGGGATCTCTCTCCACTTAACCTCTCCCAGTGCAGTAGTGCCTTGACCTTGATGCATTCTAAGTTTTCTCTTTCGCTGCTATACCTCTAGGACACACAGATGGATCACGTGGGAGGTGTTAATTATTTTTAGTTGCAGAGGAAACCAACAACCTTTGTTTGCTTAAGAAGACGTCTCGCCCTAGCTGGTTTGGCTCAGTGGGGATAGAGCATCAGCCTGTGGACTGAAAGGTTCCAGGTTTGATTCCAGCCACGGGCACATGCCCGGGTTGCGGGATCGATCTACAGTGAGGGGCATACAGGAGGCAGCCGATCCATGATTCTCTCATCACTGTCATCACTGCTGTTTCCCTCTCTCTCTCTCTCTCTCTCTCTCTCTCTCTCTCTCTCTCTCACTCTCTGTTCCTTCATCTTTGCAATCAATAAAAATATATTTTAAAAAAGAAGAAGATGTCTCAGCATCATGACAACAAATACCTCGGTGGATAGTTGATGAAGCTTGAGCCACTTGGCTTCCTTTCTTAATGCCTCTTCCTTTCAAAATGTGTATCAGAATGTCTTACACTGCATGTGAGAGTTGTTTTATCTGCTCTCTTTTATATGTGAACAGCATGTTGAACCTGACCTTAATGAAATTAGCTCAGTCAAGTTGCTACCCTTCGTCTAAGTGACGGCTCACAGTTTTTCTTCGCCTGCCACATTAACAGATGCAAGAGTTGTGGCTGCTGAAAGGCTGGTCCTGGGGAATTGTTCCCCAGGATACATCACGGGGGCTCACTTGGAAAGAAATAGGAGCAAGACAGCTGGTGAGGCAACAAAGAGCGAGTAGGGGCGGGTCTGGGAATCCAGCTGGTCTAACAGTTCTGAGGAGTTCTTGGCAAGCAGTTTCTAAGGGGACATTGCCAGCAGAGGTGCCATCATGTAAACACTGCCACCTTCAAAATGTCCTCACCCTATTGTTCCCTTTTATTTCAGTCATCAGCCTGACTTGTTAAAATCTAGGCTCCATTTGCTATTTTGTGTCTCACTTATTCTTCACCACACTGTAGGTCTGGCTTCTGCTTGCACCCACCATTGAAAGTTTTCTGGCTAAAACATTAGCAACTCCCTTTTTAAAAGGTCTTCAGTGTTCTATTTAAACTTAAAATTTATTTTTATTAAAAACACATATGAGTAGTTTGAAATTCAAATAGTTCTACCAAGTTTACATGAAGAATAGTCCCAGCCACCACCCGTTTTACCCAATGATAACTCCCCAAAGGCAGTCGCTAAGTAAATTATATATATATAAAATGCTAATATGCTAAATGTCCCTCTACCCATTCACTGGTCACTATGATGTGCACTGACCACCAGAGGGCAGACACTCAACACAGGAGCTACTGTGACGCGCACTGGCCATTTATAGAGAAATAGCAGCATGGACCTGGTACCGACAAAGCACTCAGCTTCCCCCAAGTGGTACACAGGCCCCGCTACCACCCCAGAGCCTTATCTCACCAAATCACAGCCAACGCTGCCAAGACCCCATGGAGCAAAATGTGGCCCACAGCCCTGCCCAGCCAAGAAACGGTGGCTGTGGGTACTGGGTAATGATGTCCTGTTGTAATGCCCAACTTCCTTTCCTGAGCAACAAACCATCCTATATAATAAAAGCCTAATATGCAAATTGACCAAATGGTGAAACAACCAATCACTATGATGTGCACTGACTGCCAGGGAGCAGAGGCTCAACAAAGGAGCTACCCTCAGGCCACAGGTCCCAGGCCAGCCAGGGCTGGTGCCAGCAGGGCCCCCACCTATCACCTCACTAGTCCCCCGATGATTGGTGCTGATCACTGGCCAGGCCTAGGGACCCTACCCATGCACGAATTTCATGCATCAGGCATATATATATATATATATATATATATATATATATATATATATATATATATATATATATATATATATATATATGGCTAATATGATGTGTCCATCTAGATAATGATGACATCAGGTAGCAACGCCCAGCTTCCTCTCCCTAGTGACAACTAGCCTGCTTGGAGTTTCTTCAGTCCATGAACACAACTTGCTTTAGAGCCAGGTGCAAACATTTCATGCTGTAACCAAATGTCTGCGAAGCGTTTTCCCTCATTTGATCCTCACAGAAGTCCTGGAGTAGGTAGATAGGAAATTCAGTGGAATCTTACTTTCTTTTCATTATCCAGAAAATATATTCTAAAGAAACTGCCAAATTTCTTTCTAAAGTGGTCACATTCTGACCAGCAATATGAGGGTTCCATGTTCTGCATGTTGTACAACACTTGATATTATCAGTCCTTTAAACTTTAGTCATCATATAGGTGTACAGAAGTATCTCATTGTGTTTTTAATTTGCATTTCCCTAGTGGCTAAGATATTGAGCATCTTTTCATGTGTTTATTGATCTTGCATATATCTTTTGTGAAGTGTCTGTTTAAATGTCACCCATTTTTTAAAATATATTTTATTCATTTTTTTTACAGAGAGTAAGGGAGAGGGATAGAGAGTTAGAAACATCGATAAGAAAGAAACATCGATCAGCTGCCTCCTGCACACCTCTCACTGGGGATGTGCTCGCAACCAAGGTACATGCCCTTGACTGGAATCAAACCTGGAACCCTTCGGTCCACAGTCCAATGCTCTATCCACCAAGCCAAACTGTCAGGGCTAAATGTCACCCATTCTTAGTTAGGTTGTTTTGCTTATTAGTTTTGAGTTGTAAGAGTTCTTTATACCAGACTTGTCAGAATCATTTTTTTTTTTCCAATTAACTATATTCCCACAGTTCCACAGTTCTCTTTATTACTAGTATTTTTAAATAGGGTAAGGCCTTATGTGTCTTAAAGCCTTTGAATTCTTTGTTGCCTTTGCTGTGCTCTCTCAGATTCACAACTTGCTTCCAGACCTCCTCCAGTTACTGTTCAAATGGCCCTTTTTGTGAGACATTTCTTAAACATCATATTTAATAGAGGCACCCCACCCTAGCTGTTTTAGCTCAGTGGATAGAGCATCCGCCTGGGGCTGAAGGGTCCTGGGTTCCTGTGGCCAAGGGCACATGCCAGGGTTGTGGGCTCGGTACCCTGTAGGGGGTATGCAGGTGGCAGCCGATCAATGATTCTCATCATTGATGTTTCTATCTCTCATTCCCTCTCCCTTCCTCTCTGAAATCAATAAAAATATATTAAACAAACAAACAAACAAAAAATACGAAGCACCACCCTTCTATTTTTTCTGCATAGCACATATGCAGAGGGCAGCTATATTTATTGTTTACGTGTCTTCTTGTGTAAGGAATAGTACTGAATGAGACGAGCCCCAACCATAAACACACACACACAACAAACAAACAAACAAACAAAAAACATGTAAAATACAGCCTGTTGCCCTAGCCGGTTGGCTCAGTGGATGGAGCCTCAGCCTGCAGACCGAAAGGGTCCTGGTTTGATTCCAGTCAAGAGCACCTGCACTTATCTCGGTTGGAGACTCCTTCCGCCTGTGCCCTGGTTAGGGCACCTGCAAGAGGCAACCAAACACATGGTTATTTCTGTCTTTCCCTCTCCCACTCTCTCTAAAAAATTAATGAAAAAAATACCCTCCGGTGAGGATTAAAAAAAAAAAAAAAAAAAAAAAGGATAAGAAAATCACTACCCCTGTTTCAATTTTTAAAAAATAATAAAAGACAGCCTGTGTAGGGGATTACATCCTCTCTTGGAGGCTGATACATTCAGGGATGATTTCATTAATGTAGTCACGATCTCTGCTTTTCCAAAGCAAACCTGGAGCGTGGACCCTAGAGCCTCCCTAAATGGCCGCCCCCGGAGCCAGAAGGAAACGGAGTCCCGGTGGCCCGCGGAAAGAACTGCTGGATCTGGACCAGCGGGGACGTGCTCATCTTGGCACAAAAAGGAAGTGATGACATCTCGCCCAGGACCCCACAGGGGTTAGGGACCCGGCTGAGACTCGCACCCGGGCCTCAGCTTCCGACCCGCGGCCGCTTCCAGGCCCCTCTTTGCCGGAAGTGACCTTGGCGGCTGCGGACCCCGCTTCGGGGAGGAAGGCCCGCGGGAGGGCTGCGGAGCGACCCAGGCCGGAACCTTCCTTCCGCGGGGAACGGACAGGAGCAGCCGGAGGAGGGCGGGGACGGTCTTCCCGGACGGACGCGGAGGCGGCGGTGAGTCCGTGCGGCGGGAGCGGGCCGGGCCGGCGGGAGGGAGGCGGCCGGCCGGAGGGAGCCGGCGGGGGAGCCGGAGGCCGCCGGAACCGGGGCTTCTGAGATGACGCCCGGCGCTCCCTGCGCCCCGGTTTAGGAAGCGCCCCCGGAGCCTGGCTTTGGGGCGTCGCCGGAAGTGAGGGACTCGGTCTCCCTTCGGGAGCGCACCGTCTGGGGTGCCCGACGCTCCATCCCTGTCAGGTGTGACAGGGACTGAGAGGGGCTCGGGTGATGGTCCCCGGCTCGGGGGCTGGTAAACGGCCTCCAGCCGCGAGCTGAAGGGAGGAGGACTGAGTCCGGGCCCCTGTCCCTGGGGCGGAGCGGGGGAGGCAGGGCCGGGCCGGGCCGGGGAGGCCCCTGCGGCCGGGGAGGGAGTGCGGGCCCCCGGCGCGGGGAGAGGTCGGGGCCCGGGGTCTGGCCGCCGGGACCGCAGTGGGGCCGGCCCGGGGCGGCGGGAGGACGGGTTCGGTTCACGTTGGAAAGGGCCCCGTAGCCGGTAGAGGGTGGGAGATGGGGGGGCAGGACTTGTGAGGCCGCCATTCCGCGGAGGCCGCAGCTGAGGGTGACGGCGGGGTGTGGGCTGGCGGCGGCGGGTGCGGGGAGCAGTGGGCTGGCCAAAGTGAAGCTAGGAGTCACATGGAAAAGTAAAATAAAATAAAAGAGAGTCAGGGGGCCCTGGCGGGCGGCGCCGTTGGCTGTAGCAGCTGTCCGGCCCGAGAGGGGCGTGTGCTGGAGGCGCCCATGGGCGCTTCTCTCGCGCGCTTTCTCGCTCTCCCTCTCCTATTCCATCCCTTCCGCTTTCTCTCTCTAAAATCAATAAGTAAACATATCCTCAGGTGAGAATATTTTTTATTGATCTCAGAGAGGAAGGGAGAGGGAGACACCAGTGATGAGAATCAGTGATCAGCTGCCTCCCGCACACCCTCTGCTGGGGATCCGGCTGGAAGCCGGGCATGTGCCCTTGAGCGGAATCGAACCTGGGACCCTTCAGTCCTCCGGCCCAGGCTCAATCCACTGAGCCAAACCAGCTAGGGCAAGAAAAGAAAATCACAACCCCTGTTTCGTTTTTTTAAAAATAATAAAATAAAATACAGCCTGTGTCGGGGATCACGTCCTCTCTTGGAGACAGATGTAGTCAGGATGGTAAAATACATGGAGAGGCTGAGCGTGGTCCGGAGCCAGGAGGTTCCGGTCGGATTCCCTTCAGGGTACATACAAGGATGCCTGCTCACCATGGATGTTTCTCTCTCTCTTCCTCCCTCTCTGAAATCAATAATATATATATATATATATATATATATATATATATATATATATATATATATATATATATAATTTTTTTTAAATAGAAGTGAAATTGGCAAGACTTTATAGATTAAATATGCTATTTAAGTATTATGATTCTAAGTTTCTGGCCTGAGTGAATTCAAAACAAAACAATTTTGATGTGTGCTAGGGGTTCCTTTTTCTCTAATGTAAAAACAAACCACAGAAAGTGTTTTCCTCCATGATTATATGTACTTAGTTAATTTTGTGTGCTCTCTAGAAAACTCAGAACATACACAAATTTTTTATGCAGGAGAGTAAAAAAGTATCTATAGCTCTAACCGGTTAGCTCAGTGGTTAGAGCATCGGCCTGCAGACTCAAGGGTCCCAGGTTCAATTCTGGTCAAGGGCATGTACCTTGGTTGTGGGCACATCCCCAGTGGGGGGAGGGTGCAGAAGGCAGCTGATCTGATGTTTCTCTCTCATGGATGTTCCTAACTCTCTATCCCTCTCCCTCTCTGTAAAAAAACAATAAAATATATTTTAAAAAATTATAACCCAACTACCCAAGAGGGCCATTTTTTGGTGTATTAAGTTAGATTTAATTCCACCAAGTTAAAGATAACTTTTTGATGTGTTTTCCTTTAAGTTTGTGTGCGCATCTTTTATAAAAACCCATGATTTATGCTGAATTTTACATTTTGTTTTCCAATCATAGATTTTTATTTAATGTTCTTTATTACTATTTTGTCTTTACTCTTAAGACTTTAGGTATTAATGGTTGTTTTGTCACAACTAATCCCCTGTTAACTAGCTAATAGGTTTCAACATTTTACTGTTGGAATGAGAGGGACCTCTCATGACATAAATTCTCAGATGTCCAAAATGGAGCCCACCCGGTGGGAGATAACGTGAACCTATCAATTTGCCTCACCGAAGTATCTAATTAAGGCTTTGATTGAAATTGTTTTAAAGATCAAATTTTTGCAAGATTTTGTCTTTCCATCCAAGGTTATAGTTATGTCTTCCTCATTATTCAAGCTGTCTCTTATGCTTCTTTCATGTCTTTGTACCGGTATGTACCCTTTCCTTGTTAAATTATGTTTAAGAAAGGGCTAATTTACTGATTATTTAGTAATGTGCCTTCTCTGCTGATATTCCATGTGTGAAATGATTGTCATATCATACTTTTATTTATAAAATTACTTTCTCCCTTAATATGTGTCTAGGTTTTGCTAAAATACAAATAAAATGGCGAGATCAGAAAGTTTATAAAGGCTGTGTAGAAGAGAGGTTTTGAAACCGGACACATGAGTCTGAGGCCACCTGTCACTATTTGAGCCAAATTAGGCAGAAACAGGGTTGAATTCTATAGGAGCTGACTGTATGGGGAGACCAGTCAGTCACCCTGGAAATTCTACTCTGACCCTCCCCCTTCCCCCCAAACTGGCTGTTTATATACACAAAGGGAGAAGATAGCTGCATGCGGCTGTGAGCTGCAAGTGTAACATAAAAAGGGGAGGGCAGAGTCTGCTGTCCGGCTTCAGGAGCTCAAAGTCCAATAACAAGGTGGCTAATCTTTTATGATGGTACAAACAGCCCAGCCCGAGAAAAACTCCCAGAGGGGGTCAGGGTCCGGCACAGCAACCAAAGGGAAGCATGTCCTGTCCTTGGTCTGTTCTCAGAATGCATTTCTTTTCTGAGTCGTGGACCCATCGAGGCATCTTATCTTTTTACAGCCTGTTTCACCCTCCAGTTTCCCAGTGTCTGTAAGAAAACTTATCTATAGTTAGCAAGGTGAACAATTATTAGACAACTGTGGCTCTATCCTTATCTCATGCCCTTCCCCACTATCCGTATTGTTAATACTGTAGGTAATTTGCAGCCTAAACAATTCCTGGTGTTCCGCTCCTAGTCAGCTGCTGGGAAGCTGCCCCTCAGCCCTGCCTCAGCTCCTCACCGGTACCACCAGGGCATCGGGCAGCAGCCGTGATCCTTCCCCAAGTGAAGGAAAGCACAGACAGCTCAGCCCAGGAGGAAGATAAGATCCCAGGAGGACGCCAAGTGTGCTTTTGGGGTGGATTTTTCTAGTTTTTAGTTAAATACAATAATTGTATCATGATTAAAGTTTTTAAATTTATTAGCAAGGATGTTTGTTATGAATTATAATGTTAACTTTTAAACAAAAGAGGCTTTTGGTCTTTTTTGGTTTTATGCAATAGAATCCTGCTTACCTATGAAATGCAGTTAACGCATCAGCTGGACCTATTTCCCGAATGCAGGGTGACCCTTCTGTTATTTAAAGATGTTAAAAATGCCGGAGACTTGAGAAAAAAGGCCATGGAAGGTGCTATTGATAGTTCATTGATAAACCCTACAGTGGTAAGTACCAGTGAGAATGAATGAGACATATGGGCATTTAAGAATATGTTACTTTCTCATGATGTAATAGGTTAGCCTAAAATCGCCATCTTCGGGTAAAAAGTTCTTGTCCAAACTATGGAGTGGAGTCAGATTTGGGCATTGAGTGTGATAGTGCATGGAAGCCGAAGCTTCAGGCCCTGTACTGGGAGGTGGGAAGGTGGGCCTGGCTTCATAAGGGCAGGAGCCTGGATCTCCATTTCTCCCCTGAAATCCTACCGCGCTGACGCGCACACACTGAGGGACCACGTTGCCAGGACTTCATCCCAACTCTGCCAGTGGTTAGGTCTTTGCACAGATGGTAGCCAACTTGTATATAGTGTTTACTCTGGTCTGACATCATCCCGCTACCAAGTGCTTTACCTATACTGGCTCACTTCACAGCAACTCTGTGAAGTAAGTACAGTGATTACCCCCTCCTAACGCATCAGCTGGACCTATTTCCCGAATGCAGGGTGACCCTTCTGTTATTTAAAGATGTAAAAATCTGCGGAATCTGCCCGGCCTGTAAGTGACACAGCTGGTATTCAAACCCAGAGATTCCCTCTTTGTTTCATCTACTGCAGGTGAATAAGAATACCGATTTCATAGGGTAGTTTTTAGAATTAAAGAATAATAGAGGTATAAAATGATTAGAATATGACTTTTTTCCCATAATATTAGCCCTTGATAAATGTTAGTTTTAATTTTTTTTACTATTTAAGTTTATTGAAGCTTTAAAATTCTATGATTTTCTGAATACCCAGGCCCTTGAGATAGCAATTTTGGAAATATACCAATAGTTCATAGGGATTGTGATGAAGTAAAACAGCCTGACCTTGGAGTTATGAGATAGAGCATGCATCTTCAGAGTACTCCAGATTCTCTGTGTGTAATTCTCTTTGGTTTTGTTTTGTTTTGCTTTTTTTTTTTTGGTAGATTGTCGATCCATTTCAGATACTTGTGGCAGCAAACAAAGCAGTTCATCTCTACAAACTAGGAAAAATGAAGACGAGAACTCTATCTACTGAAATTATTTTCAACCTGTCCCCAAATAACAATGTAATTAATATGGATTTTACTTAACTTTATTTCTGCTCTCCTTGCCATGACAGTATGAGAGTTCCCCAGTGTTGAGTTGGAGGCTAAATTCCTGTAAGTCTATTGTTAGTAACAAACCAGAGGAGTAGTGAAAAGAGGTCTAGAGAGGTCTGGACTGAGAGTTGAAGTTTAGCTCTGCCTTTTACTAGAGAAATAAGCTTTGGACTTGGTATTGAGCAATCAGAAGTTTTGCT